AAAAAAAAAAAAAAAAAAAAAAAAAGACACAGGGGATACTAGAGATGAGTTCTAGGGCCCAAATTGAGAGGTTTACCCAGGGAAGGAGGAATGCTTCATTCTCTGAGGAAGGATGAAAGATATAAGGGTGGGTGGAACATAGAAAAGAGGCTGAAGTAGGTAACATTTATCACCCTAAATTTCCTTTGTAAAATAGAAGGCAAGGCTTGTAGAATGAGGCACTTGAGAATGGCAGGATTAGTCACCAAGGAACTACCCAAGAAAAGAGAGCAAGATTATTAAGTAGGCTGAGATGAGAGCTCAGAGAGGCTGCAGAGGCAAGGTAGGCTGTTTTGATAGCTGCTCAGCAGTCCGCAGGGCAGACAGTTCAACTGATCCAGGGTCAGAGGATAAGAGGGCATGGATACTAAAGGATATGGGTAAAACAGGGGGTTTGAAGTGACAGATCATCATTAACTAGTTAGGAAAGAAATAAAGAAAGAAGAGAGCTAACAAAATAGACAGAAAATGGGGGGGAAAACCCGAAACAAAACAAAACAAAAAAACAGGTGGCCTCAGTAAGGCTAAAAAATAGGCTTAGTATGAGTGAGGGATAGAAACAGCTGGAACATAGGCAGTCATGGCCAATCTTCTAATTCCTGAAAGGAGACTTATTTAATGTGAAGTTTTCATCCACATCTCTAATTCTTTCTCCTAAACCACAAACTCTTAGGCAAGGGAAAAGGCTAGATACTAGATATTCTGCATTTATGACCACCAGATTAATATCTGGAGACTACATCTGAGCTATGTGACACCAAATTATATGCACTAATATTGTAAACACTTGAGAAACAATCATGTGATCTCATTTGCATGCACTCCTCCAAGTTTTTAACTCAGCAAAAACACAAATCATTTTATTATGCTTCCTCAAGAGAGTGACATACAAAAGTAGGGTACATTTAAGAACAAAAGGTAGGCTGGGTGTGGTGGCTCATGCCTGTAATCCCAGCACTTTGGGAGGCTGAGAAGGACGACTGCTTAATTACGCTTAGGAGTTCAAGACCAGCCTGGGCAACACAGTGAGACTCTGTCTCTATAAAAAACAGAAAATTGGCTGGGCAAAGTGGCCCACACCTGTAGTCCCAGCTACTTGGAGGCTGAGGTGGGAGGACCGTTTAAGCTCAGGTGGTCAGGGCTGCACTAAGCTATGATCATGCCGCTGTACTCTAAGCCTGGGTGTCAGAGTAAGACCCTGTCTCAAAAAATAAAAGGTAGCTTTTGTTTGGGAAGAGCAATACTGTAAAAAGCTTGCTGACTACTTTAAATTAGTAAACATGTCTTAGTTTAATTAAAGTCATTCTTGCAAGTGGAGGTGGTGGTGTCAGCAATGGTTGCACTTCAAGAAGACATTATTAAATTCTCTCATTAAACAATTATAAGCCAGGAGTGGTGGCTCACGCCTATAATCCTAGCACTTTGGGAAGCCAAGGTGGAGAGCTCAGGAGTTCGAAACCAGGGTAACATAGTGGGACCTTGTCTCTATTTAAAATAAAAATAAAAAATAATTGTAAATGTAGGTTTAGTGATATAAAAAGCAAATCAACTTCAACTTACCTAGATCTGGCCATTAATATTCTTAGCCTCTGCTGCAGCATCAGGAGTTTAATCATACTTCAAAATACCATGTCTTCTTTGTTTGCTGACTTAACCTAAAAACAGAAGGAAAACATTGAGAATGTCTTATTTCTAAAGAATAATATTCCTTATGAGCTTTCTGGCAACACAGTTCAGTTAATCTATTTAAACAAACTCAAAAGTCTAAAAGATTGAATAAAAAGTATTTAATATATAACATCAATTTTAAAAATTAATATAATATGTACCTGTTACCATTCTTTTTCAGAAGAAAAAGTAAAAATAGTCTTAGTTCTATGATGTTTCTGGCTTTTCTACTGCAGCTATAATACTTGCACAACTCACTTCTCTATACTCCACAGATGTAAAATGAAGGGTTAAACCACCTCTAAGGTTCCATTCCAGTTCTAAAAACCCATTTTAGCCAGTAGCAGACTAATTCTCCATCTCCAGAGACTGCTCCTAAACCTCACTCACCATAATTCCTCTTGAAGACTGTCTTCAAAATCCACCCTCCATATATTCCTATTCCATAAGACCCCTCCAAAACCAGTTCAGAAAAGTCAGTAAAGAAGAAAACTGATGGTATGAACAAGCATGCCACAGAATCATAGAACAGTGAAATTACAGTGATAAATTACAGTTTAGAGTTACAAGAGATTTCAATATATTTTTGAAAATTTTCTGGTCAATTTATTTACCCTTCATAACACACAAAAAAATCAAACTCACTCAAACAGGGATACTAATATTTACTAAATACCTACTTTGTATCCGGCATTTTATTAGGGGTTATGGGAATAGTCTCATTTTAATCTACATATTAATTAGAGAATAAATATGTTTGATAGCCAAAAGGAACATTTCCCAAACCATGTACCCACAGACAGTCAACAAATTCAACTCTGAACTTCAGATGTAACAATTTCAACTCTGAACTTCAAATGTAACAATTTCAACTCTGGACTTTAATTTTATACATAAAATCAGGATGCCAGGTGTTGGCCTACATCCCTTGTGAACTGCTGCTATACCTCACTTTAAGGTGGGCAGCAATCCACTCCCTCTTCTTTACTATCCCTTTCTTTTCTCCAGAAGCTCAAATATACACCATGCTTTGTCTCTGGCTTGGAAAACATCCCAGGGCTGAACTAATTCTACCATAAACAACTTCTTTTAGGTGAACGTATATTCTCTGTCTCTTCTAAAATGTATTATAAGGGACTTTGGCCAATTAGGTCAGAAACAACTCTATTCTGCTCATTTTTCATTCCTCTCATAAGCATTACTATACGCCACACAGAGTCATTTGGATGATCTCATTTAATCCAAACAACCAGTAAGGTAGATACTACCATTATTTCTGTGTTCCAAATAAGGAAACCAAGACTTAAAAGGGTTAGGTACCTTTTCCAACGTCAAGAACTTATCAGAAGAGCTAGACTTAAATTTTGATCTGACACTAAAGCCCAAGCACGTATTAATATACACAAAAAACTTAAAACAATATTTAGCCTATAGTAAGCACTAGTAAATGTTAGCTGTGGAAATGACAATACTTTGTTATCATACAATGCTGCGTGCCTCTGACTGTCTGTTGACCTTTCTGTGCTTACATTTTCTCATTTATAAGATTAGGGCACTCACTTCACAGAGTTATTGTGAAAACCAAATAAACTCCAGATATAAACATTTAGAAAATTAATATCATTTTAAAAGACAAGGCATTATTTATCACCATTAAAGTAAAATTCTCTGATTTCATAAAGAAGGCTTTTGCACTGTAAGCACAGCAAATCTAGAACTTAAGCACATCCTTATAACAAGTGTACATTAATAAATTTAGTAAAGCTGTCCTAAATTATTCCAAATATGATTCTTGCAGAATGACACGTAAAGAGAACACTGAACTCTATTCAAAAGTATGATTATAAATTTGGTGCTCGGGAAGGTATATGTGCTCTTTTGGTGTACTAGCAATGAAGGGGAATTTGGCTTATACTATAGTAATTTTCTTCAAATATAAGCAGGAAAGAGTGTTTATAGTTAGAAGTATAGCAACATGACTAAATTTTGGGCAAAGCAAACTGCCACATTTCGTTACATTAAAACAATCAAGAGGATGGCATTCAAAAACCATGTTCTTTGTGTCCATGGTCTGGCTGGTTGTTTTTGTTGCTGTTGTTTTCAAATTTACTGGGGCCAGGCGTGGTGGCTCACACCTATAATCCCAGCACTTTGGGAGGGTGAGACAGACGGATCGTGAGGTCAAGAGATGGAGACCATCCTGGCCAACATGGTGAAACCCCATCTCTACCAAAAATACAAAAATTAGCTGGGCGTGGCGGTATGCACCTGTAGTCCCAGCTGCTTGGGAGGCTAAGGCAGAAGAATCGCTTGAACCCAGGAGGCGGAAGTTGCAGTGAGCTGGGATCATGCCACTGTACTTCATCCTGGCTACAGAGCAAGACTCCGTCTCAAAACCAACAACAACAACAATAAAAACAACAACCATTGGGTAGGTCTTTTATTCTACACATTAATTTTCTGTTAATTCTTAACACTGACAAAGATTTCTGAATTATTTACATTATTCTGAAAAAGAGGAGTTAAAAAAAAAAGCTGAGGGGAGATTCTCAGTATATTATGCTAGTTACCCTTAAACCAAAGCCATTATATAAAAAGCAAGGGTATCTATAACAGTTCCCTTATTAGGTGAAAATTTAAAGTACACCCATATACACAAAACTGCAAAGCCATATGGTTATTTTAAGCCTCCATCCATGAATATGGTTGCATTTGCACATTCCTAAACAGATTTTCTTTCCTTTAGTTTTAGTCTAAGGGCAATGCTGATGAACTGCTTCATAATTCATAATCCTCCACCCACCCCCACTTTTAACTCTTGAAAAAAATCATTTACCTTACTTACAAATCACTTTAATATCTGGTACTTTAATTTCTGACAATTATATTTAATCAAAATTCTCTGTACTGCAGTTTAAACCAGATTCCTCTCATTGCTCTATAAGAGACAAGTAAAATCTGTAGGATCAAGAAAGAATAAGTATATGCTTATATACATTTAAGCTGTCAACAATTCACTTTTCTGTGGATAAATCTAAAATATTAATAAAGTAGCATTTCTTTTAAGATGGGTCTCACTGTGTTGCCCAGGCTGGTCTCAAGCTTCTGGGTGCAAGCAACCCTCCCACTTCAGCCTCCCAAAGTGCTGGGATTATAGGTGTGAGCCACTGTGCCCAGATTAAGGCAGCATTTCTTTATTTCAGACATAGTTGCTTGAATTAAGCTAACAAAAGATTACTTAGTAGGTAAAAATGATTTTTAAACAACTATCAATATTAAAGAGAAAATTAAATAATGAATTCATCCATTTCCCTATCCACAAACTGAGGCATTCTATAAGTATTTTCTGAGCACCTACTCTGTGTTTGGCACTGAGTTAAGTGCTAGAAATAAAGAAAAAGAACACATTCCCTGACTCCAAGGAGCTTACTGTCTGGTGAGAGAGACAGAAGAAAATGAATATGTGACAGAATTGTAGTCCCATGTGCTGGTGCTATCAGAACATTCAATACAGAGCAGAAGGAAAGACAGAAATAAGCATAAAAAAAAGGCTCCCTAGGAAAGCTGGTTCCTACACTGAGTCCTGAAAGATGGATGGGTGTTAGCTAGGGCAGGGGCAATCCAGATCAAGAAGAAAGCATGCAAAACCTCACAAACCTAAAAGAACATGGCCTCCTCCAGGAGCATCAGGTAGTTCCTTAAGAGTTGGAATGTAAGGTGTGCATGGGAAAATATTAGGAAATAGGTAGGAAGGAAGGCACATGGCCATTTCACCAAGGGTCAGTTTCTACTACTCAGGGTAATTCACATTTCCCCTTATACTCTTCCATAAACCACCGATGTCCTACCAGAATACTTTCCAATGAAGGCAGAAAACTGAGATTACATACAAGAAAAATTTAATTTAAAATTGGTAAGAATAAAATTAATAGTGTTTTACTGTCTGTGTGATGTCCAAAGTCTAAATTTCAAGACACAGCATGCGTCTATAAACATTCCCTGGATAGCGTCTGGACTTGCAGTGTCACTGCATAATGACCTTAACCTCAGGTTCCCTCTTCTCTTCTAGACCCAGAAAATGCACACACTTTAACCCCAAATCTCACAGTGAATCTTACAAAGTCCCTTTTAATCATGTATTTTATTTTTTAGGAATGAAATACAAGAATATATTTATAGAGAGATTTATATATGTGTATGTGTGTTTGTGTGTACGTATATATACATAAAATAACACACATATATAAAACAATTTTGTGTATTTGGCAAATACTAAGAAAATGTTACTAAAATAGCTTAAAAACTAGATTTTTTTAAAAAAAAGCTAAAATGGAAAATGATACAAAATACTATCTCTACCTTTAATAGTGTGGGTCACAACTTAATCCTAGAGTCATCCTTAATCTTGGTACATATCTATAGCAAGAGACACTGGTGATGAATTTAGAAAATTAAGTTGGAGTGCCCATAGTGTCTGCCCTAAGATATGTGCAAACCCAGCAAATGAGTCACTCTGCCTTAGCTAATTTAGTAAGGTAATCAGGACCAAGGGCAACAATCCTAGCGAAAAAAAAAAATAAATAAATCAACTTTCAGAACTCTCAAAGAAACTTCGTTTAGTGCTTTATACTGCAGTATAAAAATATATACAGCGAAATAAAATACCATCCTCTAGCAACACCGAAAGGATGAACATTCTCTGTGAGCAATTATATAGCTCTCTCCACTAAAAATTCACAGATCGCAACACAGAAAGCAGAGATACGTGTATGCTTTTAACTGCGGTAAGCAAGTAGAGGCACTCTCTAGAAAATGATTACCTTCAACTCTGAAAATCTGAATGAATATATTTGATCTCACAGAGTTAGTGCATTCAGTTTTCTGTAAACACTGTAGATCAAAATTCCAAAATAAACCTCTAGTTTAGAAATTTACTAATAAACACTAATCCCTTAGCAGGACAAAACTTGAGTATAATAAATACTTAACTTATGAAAAACCACATATCATACAAGATCTTTAACCCCAATACCCATTTACTAAAAAATACTGTGAAATTCAAAGGAATTGTTATTTCCCAAATAAATGCCATGTTCTTCTTAATGTAATCATTGAGTAACTTAAAATCAATTCAGTTCTCTCTATTGTACTTGTGTTTATAGGCAATGAAGTTTTTGCTAAACTGAGCAACCGCAGGAGGTAAAACCACAAGTATGAATTTTACAATATTTTCCTTAATCTGGTATACCTACTAGTTCTTAAAAAGCATTTGGCTTAATGGCTTTATTTTTTAAAAACGACAAAACTTTAAATGCAAGTCACTCTAATTTCGAGCTTCACGTTAAATAAATACACAAACTACTGAATATATTCAAACTATAAAAATCAACAAAACATTCAAAGGCATGTAAGAAAGTCCCTAGGCATCTTCACTTTTTATATATAATACCCTTAAACTAGAGCTAAATAAACATTAATGATGGATAGCAGAAAAGTAAATAAAAGCTGGGCCAGGTGGCTCACGCCTGTAATCCCAGCACTTTGGCCAAGGTAGGCAGATCATGTGAGGTCAGAAGTTTGAGACCAGTCTGGCCAACACAATGAAACCCTGTCTCTACCAAAAATACAAAAATTAGCTGGGTGTGATGTTACATACCTGTAGTCCCAGCTACTTAGGAAGCTAGGGCATGTGAATTGCTTGGTGAGCTGAGATTGAACCATTGCACTCCAGGCTGGGTGACGGAGAGAGACTTAAAAAATAAAGCAAGTAAATCAAAATGTATTTTTCAAAACTGAATACAGAAATGTATAAGTAGAATTTACTGTAACTGTACTTCCAAACTCAGGTGGATATGATGTTAGTTATTAGACTAATATTAAAAGCCTAAATATGGGCCAGGTGTGGTGACTTACACCTGTGATGCCAGCATTTTGGGAGATTGATGCAGGAGGATCGCTTGAGGCCAGGACTTTGGGACCAGCCTGTTGCAACATAGCAAGATACCATCTCTATTAAAAAAAAAAAAAAAAAAAGCCTAATATTGACTATGTGGTATATGAAATATGTACACCATTTGTACAACACACACACACACACACACACACACACACACACACACCCCCAAGCTCAAAATAAGCTATGCCAAATGCCAAGTAAGTCTAACCCCCAAAACAGTTTCAAATAGCTCATTTAAATATATCTACATTTAAACAAACCTAAAATGCTGTTAAATATACTCTCAAAGAAAACTAAATTTGCCTATTTATTCTCTACTTTTAGAGCAGTACATTCAAAATAAATGTTACAATCTAACACACTTGATTCAAGTATCCCACTAATAAAAATGTTTGCTCTGTATAGTCATCCCTTGGTGTATCAGGGTATTGGTTCCAGGGCCTCTGTATGGACCAAAACACGTGCACACTCAATTGCCACAGTCATCCCTGTGGAATCTGTGTATATGAAAAGTCAGCCCTTCGTATATGCAAGTTTTGTATCTCACAAATACTTTCTGGCTGACAAAATCTACCTACAAGTAGACCCATACAGTTCAAACTCCGTGTTGTTAAAGGGTCAGTTGTATATATGCTTTATAACATGCCCCCTCATGATATGTCAACAACAAAACATATACCAGAAAAGTTTGCATCAGAGCACATCTACCCCTGTGATTAACTTTTATAGAGCTCTTAAAATAAGTATTGTTCAAAAACTATTTAATGACAAAAACAAAACCTTCATGATATGGCTCATGCCTGTAATCCAGCACTTTGGGAGACCAAGGTGGGTAGATCACCTGAGGTCAGGAGTTTGAGACCAGCCTGGCCAACATGACAAAACCCCATCTCTACTAAAACTACAAAAATTAGCCGGGCGTGGTGGCACATGCCTGTAATCTCAACTACTCCAGAGGCTGAGGCAGGAGAATTGTTTGCGCCTAGGAGGCGGAAGGTGCCGTGAGCTAAGATCACATCACTGCGCTCTAGTCTGGGTGACTGAGGGGGACTCCGTCTCGGGAAAAAAAAAAATGTAAAAACCTGTTAAAGAAAACAAACAAACAAACAA